GTTCCCAGAGCGCCCAGGCCTGCGCGGGGCGGGGCCGCTTTCCAGTGAGGCGCTGCCCGCTCCACCGAGGTAGGTGCGGGTCCCTCCCTGCCTGCCTGCTGGGGGAGGGGGGCTCCAGAGCGAGAGCGGCCAGTGCCTGGGGCTCCCAGCGCCCATCCCCGTGGCGCCTGGGCTGCAAGTGTTCCCGGCCCCCCCCCATAGCTTCTTCCCGGGCTGTGCTCCCTGTCGAAACCCGGCTCCCCAGGCGAGGCGCTGCCCGCTCCACCGAGGTAGGTGCGGGTCCCTCCCTGCCTGCCTGCTGGGGGAGGGGGGCTCCAGAGCGAGAGCGGCCAGTGCCTGGGGCTCCCAGCGCCCATCCCCGTGGCGCCTGGGCTGCAAGTGTTCCCGGCCCCCCCCCATAGCTTCTTCCCGGGCTGTGCTCCCTGTCGAAACCCGGCTCCCCAGGCCCTTAGGGGCCAGTACAGCCGTGGCCGAGCCTGCCCCACCCCCAGACTGCAGCGAGCGTGTGGCGGTGGGAGAAGGGAGTTACGGTGGAAGAGGCAGTCAAAGTCTGTTGGTCAGGCGGACTTGTCTCCAGTGTATCCTGTTCATCCTTCTGTCCGATCCGTCTGTTCTTTACCAGAGTTTCACCATTGTGCTTGATACTGCAGCTGGGCTTTCCGGTCTCAAATTGCCAAGGCCCTTTTACAAATTGGAATCATCCAGTCATCTGTTACAGAGACTGATTTAAGCAATAACTTACCTATTACAGTTAGTAGTTCTTCAATTTCATAACCAAGTTCTTCAGAACGCTTGGATGAATGCCATCTGGGCCTGCTGACTTATCACTTTAATTTATCAATCTAATCCTCCTTTATTGCCATCTCTGTTGACAAATATTGAATATGATGCCCACGTGGAGGTGTTATGCACCTGGGTTGGACATTGGCCAGTCTAAATGCTCGGACATTGGTGTTTAACTCAGAATTGTCTTACATTTCTTCCATATCCCCCAACGCCTCTAATTATGTTTTGCCTCTCTAGATATGTGCATGCTGCTGTCCTGTGTGCACCTGATTCACCAACCTCTCCGGCGCATCCAGTCTTGGTTTGTCTTACCTTCACGCTCCTTCATGGATCTAAAAGCTCTAGTTTCCTCTTTGAATGACTTTGCTTCTCTCTCTCTGGCTGAGAGTTGGGACAATGTAGGACTACTGGTAGAACCGAGCCCATAACTAATGACCTTACAGAAGAAGTAATGCAGGAGGCATTGCAGAAGAAGGCAGATCTTATACTTTCTTATCACCCACCCATATTCCGAGCACTCAAGCGCATAACATGGAACACCTGGAAAGAACGTCTGGTGATCCGGGCTTTGGAACACAGAGTTGGCATTTACTCTCCACACACAGCCTATGATGCTATACCTCATGGAGTCAATAACTGGCTAGCCAAAGGACTTGGTGAGATACTCCTTTTTTCAGCTGTTACAGGTTGAACCTCTGTGGTCCCACATGATTTTAGTTAGCAAGATGTCCACTTAAGCAGTAAGCCAAGTTTCCCACAGTCCCATAAAATTTGTTTACAGCCACCAGTCCTGATTCTCAGTGTTCTGTGCTGGTACTTAGTTCTAATTTACCCATAAGTGTCTTCTAAGAGCCCAGTAAGCAGTGGAAGTGTTGGTAATGTTGCTTGTCAATATTGACCTCCCATGGTCTAGCAAATTCTCTGGTTTGGCACCAGTCAGGTCTGAAAGATGCTGGACTAGAGAGGTTCAACCTGTAGTCAGTTTCAATTACTCTTTATCAATATAGTATAAGTCTATGGGGAATGTCTTTATCAATTTTCCCATGTGTTTATGTGCACAATTTGAGATTGAGTGGTGTGGAGAGGGTGAATAAAGAAAATTTATTCATTAGTTCCCATAATATAAGGACTAGAAGACACCAAACTAATGTTTAAAACTAAGGTTTAAAACTAATAAGGGAAAGTTCTTCTTTACACAGCGCATAGTCAACCTGTGGAACTCCTTACCAGAAGAGACTGTGAAGGCTAGACCTATAACAGAGTTTAAAGAGAAGCTAGATAAATTCATGGAGGTTAGGTCCATAAAAGGCTATTAGCCAGGGGAATGGTGTCTCTGGCCTTTGTTTGTCAGAGGCTAGAGATGGATGGGACGAGACAAATCGCTTGATCTTTGTCTTTGATCCACCCCCTCTGGAGCACTTGGTGCTGGTCACTGTCAGCAGACAGGCTACTGAGCTAGATGGACCTTTGGTCTGACCCAGTACGGCCATTTTTAGGTTCTGATGGTGCAAAGATGAAATCTATCAGTGAATCAGAGGCACTCAGATACCATTGATGAGGATCAAAAAAATAAAAGTATTGAGGAATATGTACATTTTTAGCTGACAGTGTAACAAGACAGGAAACAAAGGGTAGGAATAAATGGTAAATTTTCAGAATGGAGAGGGGTAACTAGTGGTGTCCCCCAAGGGTCAGTCCTGGGACCAGTCCTTTTTAACTTACTAATAAATGATCTGGAGAAAGGGGTACGCAGGGAGGTGGTAAAGTTTGCAGATGATACCAAACTGTTTAGGATAGTCAAGACAGAAGCAGACTGTGAGGGACTCCAAAAAGATCTCACCAAGCTGAGTGATTGGGCAACAAAATGGCAAATGAAATTTAATGTGGATAAGTGTAAAGTAATGCACATCGGGAAAAATAACCCCAATTATAGGTACAGTATGATGGGGGCTAATTTGGCTACGACAAATCAGGAAAGAGATCTGGGAGTTATTGTGGATAGTTCTCTGAGAACTTCCACACAGTGTGCAGCAGCGGTCAAAAAGGCAAATAGGATGCTAGGAATTATTAAGAAAGGGATAGAAAATAAGACACAGAATATCTTACTGCCCCTGTATAAAACTATGGTACGCCCACATCTTGAATACTGTGTACAGATGTGGTCTCCT